TATATTTTTTTTTTTTTTTTATTAAACAATTTATTGAACTTTTAGACAAAATCTACAAAACAAATCTGCATATGTGTTTTATGTTTTGTATCATATTTGATACATCATTCTTTTATGGCTCATACAGTATGATACAGTATAATGGGAATATAGAGGAAAAACACCTCAATTTAAAATTAAAATTGAATTTTAAATCATTATATAATATGTATCAATGTAATACGAAAAAATAAAAGTATTACAGTTATTAGAGCATTTAAAACTTAGTCGAGGAAAATGACTTTTTAGGATTAATTAGATTTTTTGCATCATGATATAAAACATATTTCTAAATAATCAGTAATTACTGTAATACAAAAACGTATATTATATTGTTTATATTAAAAAATACAAAATATTAAATATTTCAACAAACTGAAATTGAAAACATTTTATAATATACTGTATATTATATAATAGAAGTCTGAAAAATCAAATTTTTTATTTATTGAACTTTTAGACAAACAAAATAAATGCATGTGTTTTATGTTTTGAATCATATTTGAGATATCTGGCTTTTATGGCTCATATAGACTGATATTAACAGAAAATGAAGTAAAAACAGCTCAATTTTATTCAGAGACTCAAAATTTGCAAAAATATACAATTTGGTGCAGATGCTGATATTTATATGATGAGATTCTGATGCTTGTAATGTAAAACAATGAGATCTTTATAACAGTATAGCAGATATAAAATGATATAAATATCAGTCGTCGCTCTGTATCTCCAATAATATGTCTTAGTAAGATGAGATGTAAATGCTCCAAACATATAATGCAGTGATTGAGAGCTGAAGAAATAAAGGCTCCTCAGAAGATGTGAGATGTTCTGGAAAAAGAGCTTTGACTGGATAAAAAACTCTAAACTATCAATCAGACGTCAGAAGGCATGGAGTAGATTGTGTGCGACAGATTTACAGCAAAGTTTTGATCCTACAGATCATTTAGAGGACTTGATACAGGCTTTATAGGGTTAAAAGTTGGTGCCCAGATGCAACAAACTTTACACCCTGTATACACAAACACAGATGCCAATGTCTAGCCAACATCACGTGAACACAAAGCTTGTGTTGCTGCCACTGAACCTGACTTATTAGTTAGCTATTTAGACTCCAGCTGTAAAGGTTAAAACACAAATGTGATCCTGGAGCACAAAACCAGTCATAAGCAGCGACTTAACACTGCTTTTGTGCTCCAGGGTCACATATAGTTAAATGACTCGTTATCAGCGCCGATATTCCCTAATCTCAATGAAAGGATCGCAGAAGGTAGCGCTAAACGAAACATCTGTAATACAGTCATCAGTCCAGCTGGAAAATCCATCTGTGATCCTACCAAGAGAGAAAAACCCCTCAAACACTCACACATCCGGCGCATGAAGACAATCACTTCAGTATGAAATATTAATACAGGCAGTCAGGGACAGAGACGCTCTCAACACCTGCAGAAACACATCTCTCCTTCATCCTCTCATTTCCCATTCATGAATAGTACACATCCATCTGCATCCCTCCATCTCTTTCTTTCTTTCTTTCTTTCTTTCTCTATGTGTGTTTCTTTACTTCCCTTCTTTGCGAGGAAAGCCCAGAGCGCACGAGGTTGCCTCACACGAACCTCTGATCTGAATAGGCCTCTGTTATTTACAACCAACCCATCCAGCGTCCATGGGCCCTCAGCAGCCTTTGAGTGCGTCTGATGAAACGAAATGAAATCTCCAATTCATGCCGCTACGTCAGACAGGACGCCCACTGAATACCATAAAAACACTCTCTCTCTGCACACATTCACATGCATCAACACAAACTCACTTGCATCACTGCACAAACATCAATGATGATATTAGACATATCAAAGGTTTGTCCGAAGCATCATCTCTCTGTCAGGCTTCACTGATATTGTGGTCAATAACAAATGATTTTTGGCATAAAAGAAAAATGTATAATTTTGACCCATACTATGTATTGTTGGTTATTGCTACAAATATACCCCAGCGACTTAAGACTGCTTTTGTGCTCCAGGCTCACATAAGATCTAGTTGTGCAAAGTTTTTAGAAATTTATCTGAATTTCTGTTGGTTTGTTATGTTTATGAAAAGTCAATGCAAAAATACTGTAACAATCTAATTTACAAGTCAAGTGTTTTTCTTAGAAATCTAATCCTTGGTTTCATATGGTTTTGGAAAAGTATTTCCAAACATTTAATTTAATGACTCTAAAAAGTTCTGACATTTTTAAATAAATACTAATTACTGTTCTTGACCGTCTAGAGGGGTATTTTATATATATATATATATATATATATATATGTTTTTTTTATCAGTTTAAAGGAAAATTTTATGGGTCATTGCAGAAGGATGAAAAGAAAAATAGCGTAATAATTAATTTAAAAGTCCATTGTTTTGGTTAGAAATCTAATCTTTGGTTTCATAAGGTTTTGAAAAACTTTTCAACAAAGTTTTCATTTAATGACTAAAAAAACAAGTAAAAAATAATAATTTATTGTCCATATTGCTTGAAGTGAGTGTTCAAAACATTTTAAAAATGTTTTCAAAATATTTCATTGGTCATATAGTTTGATGTGAACCTGAACTAACCCTGCCATGTCTTAGAAAGTCAAATATTCGGATATTTTTAAGAAATATTAATTACTGTTTTTGAAAATTCAGCAACTGACTTTTAGTTCTGTGAGCTGCTCTATAACATGGGCCAAAAATAAAACTCTGAAAAGAAAAATTTTCACCAAAATTAGAAAACATTAGGGTAGGTACATTAAACAAATTTTTCAATCTTGAACACTCTAAAAAACAGTGAAACATTTTTTCCCTTTTTTTACAGAATGGGCACTTGTCAGACACATTAGGATAGAGAGAGAACGAGAGAGAGAGTTTTTTTTAAAAGATGAAAATAATAAAATGGAAGGAATAAAAATATTTCACTTTTTTTTTTTTTTTCATTTTTAAAAATGTTAATATATCCAAACAAAACAAGGGAGAAGAAAGAGAAAAAGGAAGGCAGAAGGAAGAGCAAAACATCCGAAATAAAAGATTACATTAATATAAATTATAAAAATATAAGTAAATAAAAATATTCCTTTACAAACTGAAAAAAAAGTTTCCTTTTTGTTTTTCTTTATGTTTTCAATTTTATTTTTAATGTATTGGGTTTTTTTTTTTGTTTAATTTTTTTAATCTGTCCAAACAAAACAAGTCACACTGCTGACTCATTTACAACAGCAGAGTTTACCCACAATGCAACACACACAGAGGACCAATTTCTCTTCAAACTAACACAATAAGCCACTTGAGGCCATGTGTCTATTACCGCGGGTAAGTGATCTTAACCCAGTGACCTTGGTCAAATCACTGTAATGAACGGCCTCAAGTGGCTTAACAGCAGCAACACTCATAAAAGACCATGTTTATTAGTTTACAATGTGGTTATAATGTTCAATAAATATTAATTAATAAGAATCAGAATAAATCTGAATTAAGTAATATAATGCATTAGTCTAACTGTAGATTATTACAGAATGTGCGTGACAGTTTATCATAATTTCATGACGACTTCAAATACGACTAATCAAATCAGAGTCTGTTTTGGAAAGTAAATTAATCTACTGTCTCTCTCTCTCCACCAATGCATGTCTCTCCTTCTCTCGCATGTATTTATGAGTCCATGTTTGTCTTTTTGAGCTCAAAATCTCATTAATGTAGTACACGATGGTTACAGAGCTTAGAAACCACAGGAACACGAGCTAATAGTTTTGCATAATTCAGTACAATGGTTATAATGATAAATAAATTGCTTCATTTTCTCGCTGTCTAACGTAATTCGCTTTTGATTGTAAACGTGTATGTGGTACCTGGTTGATCACGCTGAGGTGCTCATCCGCCGTGTCCTTCTTACAAAGAGCGACTAAAAGAAACAAGTCAGAAAAAGCAGAGGAAATCAAATTAAACTCCAAGCTAAACACACACACACACATTTACACACCGCTTTGATTTCTCTTGTTGTTAAAAGTAAGTCGGATAATGAAAGGACGGGTAAAACCTTCACAACGATTTACGCCAAAATCCTCCTCCAAACTTTGAATCTTCATTCAGCCAAAAAACAGGCCGTCAAGCACGTCCATGTGATGCCTGATTCTGAATAATTGGGACTTTTGGAGAGAAGTGTGTGTGTGTGTGTGCGTGTGTGTGTGTGCATGTGTGTGTGTGTGTGTGCGTGTGTGTGTGTGTGTGTGTGCGTGTGTGTGTGTGCATGTGTGTGTGGTGATTGAAAAACCCCTCGAAGCGGTTCAAATATTAAAACCACAAGGCGGCTGTTGCTTTGCATATTTCACTGCATGTGCTCAGAAATCTGCTGTTTTCCACTGATCCAGAAAA